TCTCTCTCTCTCTCTCTCTCTCTCTCTCTCTCTCTCTCTCTCTCTCTCTCGATAATAGTTTTAAAATATAACTATCCCAGATTTCAGAAAAAAACCTTATTATCAAATATTTAAAAAAAGAATTTATTCTCTTTATATGATTATTATAAAATTCTATTGAAAAAAAGTCTATTTAACTCTATGTAGTAAGCGAAGTGAATGTTCTAATTTAATATTCTTGATTAAAATGTTAAACTTACCAGAATATCTTTTGTGAGTAGATATAATGTTTACGATAAATTTATAATATAGATTCGCGGATGTGTATACACTTATGTAATACTCGAAACAAGAAACATTTACTTCAATGCAGTATGCATTTCTCTGCGTGCGTGTTCCACGTTCGCCCGCAAGAGAAAGAATAACTGATACTCTTTGCAGTTGCGGAAACAGTGTATGTGAAAAAAGAATTCGTCGTCGCATTGTTCTTCGCCGGCCGACAATATTCGTAGATAGATCAAGGTCTGTGTTGATCACAAGCCGCGGCTGTTAAATTTCAAGACCTTGTCATTATATCGCGTCACGAGCGAACATGATCTGTGAACATGATAATGTGTGACTTTGACGCCCCCCAGTCGTTCAACTTCGGAAAGAAACGTCGGTAAATGTTTGGAAGTGTTATTGAAACTGTGAGTTTTTTGTGGCAATCAACAAAGTAAACTGTAAAAGTGTATGTATGAACTTTTATGGGGAGCACAAGGTTAAAAAATGCGAAACTAAACCTTATGCTCCGTTTTTGTTGGCCTTGTTTTATACATTTGATAAGAAAAAAAACTAACCTAACCTAATCTCTATCGCCGTGATATTGTAAATATGTTAAATGCTCAAGGACGTAATTTATATATAGGGTGCGGCAAAAGTATCGGACCGGTAAAATATCTCGAAAAATATAAGTTTTACAGAAAATTGCTTTAGATAAAAGCTATAAGTCTTAGGAAAATCTATTTACTGATTTTAACAGTTTGACCTTAGGTGACATTTCGAGGTCAGGTCGAGGTCAACATTGCATGCACATTTGTGCGGGTCAACCAGATTGTTTTCTTCCTTGTGATATTTTATACATTGAAAAGAAGATATTTGAAAATTTATTTGTGATATATAAAGTTTATTCAAAGAAACAAACTTTATATATCACAAATAAATTTTCAAATATCTTCTTCTCAATGTATAAAATATCACAAGGAAGAAAACAGTCTGGTTGACCCGCACATAAATCTGATTGTGACAACCAGAGTCAATATTAAGTTGGCACAACCAGATTTATGTGCGAGTCAACCAAACTATTTGTTTTCTTCCTTGTGATATTTTATACATTGAGAAGAAGATACTTGAAAATTTATTTGTGACATATAAAATTTATTCAAAGAAACAAACTTTATATTCACGGAAATAAACTTTATATTTCACAAATAAATTTTCAAGTCTTTTCTTCTCAATGTATTTTTAGCAGTGTTCTGATAATTGGTGTTGATTGGAAAATTCCATTAGACTTTCATTTGTCCTATTTGTTTCTTTCTATCTTGTAAATATTGAAAATTCTTGATATTTCCACTAGCTTAGCGGAGGAACATGTTAAAATAACATGGCAGCGTGAGCATTGAACGCGATCGCAGGAACCTCTTTGCGAAATGTGCGAAATTGTCGGGTAGTCTTGGGAGGTCAAGAGGTCATCGAACGTGGTACAAGGCTTTTTCTCACATCCGCCCCGCTGACGCTCTCACTGTTGCGGAACGCAAAACCACATAATTTCTATTACTTTGTATAATAACGAGACACGCGAAATGTAAATATTACCGCGAAATAAGAGGCGTGGCGCGTAATAACAATGCGACTGCAGGTAACCACGATGCACTAACTGCTGCGATTCTACGCGTAGCACGCGGAACTCCGTCGTCGGGAATTTCCACGCATTTTAAATTGACGTGATGCAGCACGGGATACACAATGGCCGTCTATTACGGCCTGAACAAACATGAGTTAACTTCTGTAATACGCGGAAGATAAGACATTTCAATGCATAGCCGTAATACGTCAACGCACGCATCGCGAATCATTTACAATACAGCAGAAGGCGGAAGTAATCTCCTCTTTTCTTCTTTTTTTTCTCTTTGCTTTATGTATTATGACGAGAAATAACTAGTAGCTGACAAAGCGGATGCGCGTGTAATATTCTCTTGGGGCAAATTAGTAAAAATGTTTTTAATTAAGAAATAGTAATAAGTAAAAGAAACTATCTCACCGATGATCAATGAGTATACACTGAGATTTTCAGTGAAAACACTTTCACTTTACCTCTCTTTCTCTTATCTCTTTTCTCTCAAGATGTCTGATAATTAATGACCCACTCGTTATGTGTAAATAGAATTTATCAAACTGAACATAAAATTCCTCTACCATTTTCTAAACAGTCACGTGTCATTTTAAATTATTAATTAAAAAAAAATTAGCGTAGGACTACGCGCGATATGGTAGATGAGCTGTGATGGCTACGTCTGCCGCCACGTGCTTGTACATTAACTCAACTAAACAAAAAAGCCTTCTACCATTTTGCAAAAGACCACGTAGATTTTTAGTTATTAATTAAAGAAGATTAGTGTATTATGGAGAGTGTATATGAAGACTGGTAATTATGCGCGATAATGGACCAATCTTTTTTAACTCATAACTAACAATCTATGTGGTTATTTACAAAGTGGTAGAGGACTTTTTGTTCAGTTTGAACTAAGAACGAACACACAACGGCAAACGTCGCAATCACAGCTCATCTCTACCGTATCGTACATAATCATTCACTAATCTTCTTTAATTAATAACTAAAAGCCTACGTGGTTATTTGCAAAATGATAGAGGACTTTTTTGTTCAGTTGGAACTAATGAACAAACATATAACGGCAGACGTCGCAATTACAGCTCCTCTCTACCGCGTGTAATCATTCACTAATCTTTTTAATAACTAAAAATTTACGTGGTTATTTACAAAATGGTAGAGAATTTTTTTGTCCAATTTGAGCTAATGTATAAACGCGTGACAGCAAACGTCGCCATCACAGCTCATCTACACTGAGAGAAAAATATAATTGCTTTTGGCGTCAACTATACTTTTCTCTGTGATTTTAACTAGAAAAATAATTAGGAGAACTATCTTTCTAATAACACTTACTAAAACAATGGTTTTCCTAACTATTTTTATGGTTCACAAAAAAATCACAAAAGAGTATAGTTGACGCCGAAAGCAACTATATTTTTCTCTTGTCTACACTGAGAGAAAAAACGGTTGATCTAATTAAAATTATAGTTATTTTTGGCTCCAACCATATTTTTTGGTAGTTCTAACACGCTAATAGTAACATGGATATAAAGTTATTATCACTAATATTATATCTAGTAGAATTTAATAAAAAATAGTTTTCTCAACCATAATTCATAGTATATTTTTCCATGCGACTATAGTTACGAATACCAAATATTTTTTCTCAGTGTAACGTATCATGCGTGATCATTCATCAAAATCTGCTTTAATTAATAATTCAAAATTTCACGCGATTGTTTGCGGAATGGTAAAGAGATTTTGCGGTCAGTTTGATGAATTTTTCCTGCATACAACGTCTTTAACTGTAAGACATTTTTTATATCACTGATTTTGAGCAATAGAAGTAAGATTTCACTGTGAAATCTGTAATATGTAAATCAGTTATATCAAATTTAAATCAAATTATATCAAACTTTGCGTTAGATGATGAATTGCCGGCTTCCATTGCGTACAATGAACCTGTCTGCATTTATAAACTATATTAATAATAGGAAGAATCACTACTATTTACTGATCATTTCAGCGAAATTTTACTGACTACAGTGCTGTACTTACAACTAAACCGCCAGTTATAAATATAGCATTTCAATGAAGAACACACTGATTGTACTTAAGAGAGAACGTAGAAATGAAATGTATTAAATCTGCAAACAGATATAATCCTGTAAAACGGCGTTTCGACAATCACGGAGCGATGCGTGTAATTCTTCGCGTGAAATTCGGAAGATTAATCCAGCAAAGTGGCAATCGAAAATAAATCTTATCGTAATTTTTGCACTGACGAGGTAATGATCTTTGCGTAGAGAGAAGCGGTCCATGAAAAATTATTCAAACGCGATGCCGACAATTTCACTGTTATTTGCATTGCATTCTTTCCCCAGCTCGGGGCCTTCGAAGCCAGGAACTTCGAAGTTACTTTTCCGAGGTGGCTTGAAACATCGGAATCGAAAGACCGCGCGTAGAAAGGAAGCGCGGCGCGCCCGCGTCTCAGTGTTTTCTCCTCTTGACCTCCTCCGGATTACGCAACATTTTCCCCGACCCGGCGGCGTAATGTTACGCGCGTTCCATTACGCCCGGCGAGTCACATTATGCCCGTTGACTGTTAATAATCGAGGCGACTTACCGAGGTGTAATGTGGCGAAGGTGAACAAAAGCAAACCGGAGATGAGTCGCCGCAGCGTCGCGTCCATTTTTCGGTTCCGGCCACTGCGCGGGTCGAGTCCTCTTCTTTTCCGTTACTGCTGCGGACGGTGGTGACGATGGCACATGTACACACACACGAACCACACGCGCGCACTTATATTCGATCTGCAATTCGAAAAAAAGCACTGTGAAGCCTCGAGGCGTTGGTCTTCCTCGCGAGCTGGCCCCCCGTAGGTCACCTCTCTCGTTGATCCTTAATTTTAAACGATTCATTTATTCGTTACGCAATTCAGATATTATTTATTGTCGGTGGTCGCACGGGGGACCGAGCGAGATCAGAAATCTCGTAAAAAACCGGGAAATCGACGCACGGGATGCAGAAACCTCGGAAGAAAAGGATAGGCCGACGATGGAAATTACACTGAGAAAGAAAATATCTAAAAAGTAGTATTTATTTGATGGGTACTAATTAAATGAGAAACACACATTTACTTAAATCTAAATTCTTTCATTTAAATAGAAACAATTGCTTTCATAAAGAGCTAAGATTTCCTTAAGCGGTTTTAAAAAAATGTATATTTTCTTATTTAAAAAATATTTTATATTAGATAAGTAAATGTATGTATGTATGTGTATATATATATATATATATATATATATATATATATATATATATATATATGTTACCGCTCATCAAATAAATATTTTTTGTCCTTCAGATATATATTCTTTCAGTATAAAGAGGGAAGGGGGAAAGAAGCAGTCTGAATTTTAACGTTGGAAAAATGCTTGCACAGAAAAGAAAGTTCGGTTGAAATCAATTTCTGATAAGATATAAACGGTCCAATAATTCTGGTTGCAGTTATCAGAACTCAATCGAAATCGTCAAGATTAATTTAAACAGAGAGAGGTCAATTTGGTTAACTTAAACAGAATTCTGGTAACTTCAACTAAAATTTCTGGATCGTTTATATTTTACTAGAAATTGGTTAATCCCAAACCAACTTTTTTCCGTGCACATTACTACTGTTAAATAACGCGATACAGATAGGGGAAAATGTCCACACACAGAAAAATATTATTCTTTTAAATAATTAAAATTAGTAATTGAGAAATATCTTCTTTTAAATAATGTAGTTATCTCGAACAAAGAATATTTTCTTCATAATAGTCTTGAGGTACACACTCATCAATAATTTTAAAAAAGCTTATTATCATGTAAAGAAGAATCTATTCTCTTTATAAAAATATCATAAAACAAATATCAAAGAAAAAGTTGGTTCGATTCTATATAGCAAAAAATCGAATTTTAGTTTTAATTTAATATTCTTGTTTAATATGCTAAACTCACTAGAATCCAGAATGTATTTTGAATAAATTTGATACTTATGATGAATTTATACAGAGACTTATGAAATACTAGAAATAAGAAATATTCACTTGAATAGAGTATGAATTTTTTCTGCTGTGTGCAGTAACCGGCACTCCGCCTGTCTTGGGCACTCTTGCACGGATATGATCGACCATTAAGGTGTATGAGATTTTAAAAGAAAATGAATAAATAATAAATAATAATTTGTAAATGTTTAATAAATAATGAAAAGATCCTCATACACCTAAACATTTGACAAAATCCAAGCAAGGTTGCCGAAAGCTGACGAGCACCGTAATGAATGCCGGCTACTGGGCGCATTTTCCCTTTTATCTAAGATACGGGAATATAATAATGTACAAACAAAATGTTCGAGTTAGATATTGGCCTGTGAGCGACGAGCGCGGAACTCCCGATCAATGTGAAACGACGCGAGATCTCAGGTGAAAACACGGCAAACACGAGGAGCGATCGACGAGAGATCGGAGGGACTTGATGGCGACGCTCGACCGGCTCAAAGTCGACTGAGTGTAAATTCGTCATTGATCGTGCGGCACACCTTCCCCATGCGATTTCGCGGTTCTCAAGCCGTACAATCTACCGTTACCCGAAGATCATGCCAGCGGTGTGCAAAAGCCGCACGAGAGGCTCTCTCCACACGCTGCCATACGCAACGTGTCTATCGTGCGCGAAAATAGTATCATAGCTTATTTAGCGCGTTCACTTTTTGATGCCTGTAATAGGTATCGTGCAAAAGTGAAGTTCGGTTGAAAATATCCTTCTTAGCGATGCGCGAACCGACGGCTGTCACGAACGTTAAGCGTTGAGATGTGACGAAGATTAAAATAACAACAGCAGAGAACATTCAATCAGATTATTAATACGAAGAATGTTTAATTTCTCATCCAGTGAACGTCCTAATTTTCATAATTTTTGGTAAATTTTTGCAAATTATAACAATTCTTGCGAAATGTTACGGCATCACGAAGATTAATATAACAATTGAATATCTAGTCGAATCATTATGACAAGAACGTGATTGAATTTTATCTTAAACCTATGGACAAAGTCTCAGTCTCCACAATTTTAAATAAATTTTTGCAAATTTGTGAAATTTTCGCGAGAACTTATGACAAAAATTAATATGACGCATTCTTCGTCGGATTATTAAAGAAGAAACGCGCCTCGTGTTTTATATTTTTCATCCATAATCTATAGAAAAAGTCTTACATCTCGTGATTTAAAATAATTTTTTGCGAATTTATGAATTTTTCGTGCGAAATCATATGATGAGCATTAAGATAACAATTGAATTTTTATTGAATTATTACAGGAAAAACGCGCTTCGTTTTTCATGTTTTTCATTCATAACTTATTAACAAAGCAATTTTTAATAAATTTTTACAAATTTGTAAAATTTTTGCGTGAAGTCATGATAGAAGTCACGAAGATTAAAATAATAATTAAATTTTTCATCGGATTATTACGACAAAAACACTTCTCATGATTTATTCTAGTCTATAAAAAAAGTCTTAGTTTTTATACTTTTAAATAAATAAAAATAAAAATCAATTAATTAATTAATTAAATTTGAAATAAATTCTTGCGAATTAGCAATTTTTGCTATAAATCATCAAATCTCACCATGTGACGAAGATTAAAATAAAAGTTAAGCTTTTAATCGGATTATTACGGAAAAAACGCGCTCCATATTTCATCCTTGACCTACAAGCAAGGTTATAGTTTTTGTCATTTTAAATAAATTCTTGCAATTTTTGTGAAAGATCACGCAACGTCATGTAACATACGAAAAAAGAGAGACCGATTTTAAATATCGAGAGTCAGTTCGTCAGTCGTCAAAAAACGATAATCGATTACCTTTAAAGGTCGAATAGACTCACTCCATCATATAACAGATTCAGGACGCGGCTCTGCTCATATGTAGCGGGCCCGGGGAATACTTAACGCAAAACAAAAAAAAGGAAGGTATAATATCACCGTTATTCAAGTTTTCCGATGAAGCAACGCGTATAACGTATCTCATATGCTATTGTTTGGCCCAGCAAACAAGAATTTATACGCGTCCAACAAACAAGCACTCATAGCGTGTTTGGATAATTTCATCGTCTAAATTTGCCCATCCAATGCAACGTACTTTGGATATCAAAACCGTAAAAGAGATAGAGTGTGTATGAGAGAAAGAGAGAGAGAGAGAGAGAGAGAGAGAGAGAGAAAGACAGCTTAATGCAATCACATAATGATTAAAACGCCATTTGGCGTCGTTATGAAAGCGTTATGAAAGCTCTATTTTCTTTACATTGCTCCACACACGTAGTCTATAAAATTTTAATAAAGCGACAGCAAACCGCATTTAATGGAGAGTCTACGAAAGTCACGATAAATCGTGCGGGTCAAACGGATAAAAAATCATAGTGACATAACGACGTGTTAATTTGAACAACGTGTTTTTTCGACGGCTAGTCGAGATTAGGATATAATTATATTGTATAAAATTCGGAGGAGAGTCTGAGACATAGATATATAGATGTCTCAGCCGAAAGTATATTGCTTTCTCTCTGTTATGGTCTGCAGAACAAATATTATAGTCGAAAGATCTATATAAGGTTTATGATGATGTCGTATCATATGATTACTTACAAGGAATCCCATGTAGGTGTTTAGCTCCGATTTGGATGAGCTTTAAATATATTGTAATTCAGACAAAAAAGAGACACGTATTTTTTTATACGTGCCTAAGCGGTCTTTTAGGCGGCAAGGAACGCCTTTGAAAAAATCGGTTTTTTTCTTTAAGAGCATGTTTCATTAAAAGTGTAAAAAATAGAAAAAATTTTTCTAGACAAAAATTAAATGGTTTTAGGAGTACTTTGCAATAGCAAAATCAGACATTTGAAAAATGATTGTCAACATCCCCCGGCCACTCACAATTTTCACAAATATCTGATCTTGTCATTGCAAAGTATTTCTGAAACCATTTAATTTTTGTCTAGAAAATTTTTGGAATCTAACTTGCGCGTTTGGGAAAATACTAAGAAATTACTCCGCGGATATATTTCGCGATCCACGAAAGCGCGAAGTGCTGGAAATGCGCGGAAAACGAGCGTTTTTTCTGTCCTTGCCGTTGCCTGACAATGTTGTGTTGATGTTCTCCTTTTTTTCCCCGAATTTATTCCGCGCGCGCTGATGCTTAACTTCTCAATTTATCCGGGACATTTTGCGCGCATCAAACTTCGCGTCGCTATTCGCGGGAAAACGACGAGTACGGTATACATGTATATGTATATCGTGTCCGCGTATTTCCCGGCTGTGCATCGTTACGAGCATAATCTCTTTCTATCGCTCGAAAGCACATATAAACGCAGCGCCGCTATTTCGACGAAGCCTGGTCCGAGGCGTAATTTCTATATTTGTTTATCGCGACCCATACACACACACACACACACACACAGGCCTTTCTGTGTCCCGAACGAGTCGAAGTGGAGTTTATCCGCGTGCAATCGCGGACGATGGGCGTCGTTATCGAAATTACCGTAACACGACGTCGCGAATTCGCGCAATTCGAGCGGCCACGTAGAAACCGTTATCGCATTACTTTTACGAACGCTTCTCATTGTCGCGAGCGGAAAAGCCGTGCGATCATCGTAAATCGGCGAATTACCCCGCAATCGACCAGATCTCGCCCGCGTATCGGATCCCGCGCATACTGCGAATGGCTTAACCGTGAATGCACCCCGAGAAACTGCACGCACCAGCCGATACCGCCTCGGCTTTCGCG